CTGAGGGGAAACTATATGTGACGGGTTTCACTGACTTGCTTTTCACTTCAGTGGTAGTTTCTCTGAGTTTCATCCCTCGAATACAGTGTGTTCATCATAGCTGGGGTAACGCATCCTGACGCCCGAGGCGGGCACTGCCAGACACCTGTGTTCATTACAATAGTAGTCTACTTACATCACAGAGAGCAGAGGCTCGAATTTTATCCGTTACGAGTTATTTATTTAAAACGCTGTGTGGTTTGGTTGTCGCTTCGTCTTTCTTGGTTACCACAACTGAGGCGGTGCTTGGCATCTGCGTCAGTGAAGAAACCTGCCATTCTCCTTAAACCCCTGGCTGTTGTCTTCCCCCTGGGGACATTTTAAACATCCCAGGATTAGTTATTGTGAACCAACATGGCAAATACTTTAAGGAGACTGACCAATACATCATCCTTCAGCCTCTTACAGGACAAGCTTGAGAGCTGGCACCAAGACTATCACGTAAGTTCATCAATAAGTAATGATCGACCTAAATCTGACCAAACCAGTGCCAGTGCCCTCGGCCAGCCTAGCTATCGCTATCACGATAGTTAGCCTATCTCATGAATCGGCTTCTAAGAGCACATTTGTATACGGTTGGAACCTAAATTTTAGTGAAGGCTTCGCAGCCAGCTTGGTCTTCTGTTACAATATCCAATCGAAATGATGAACTGCTTTGTTTACGCCTGTCAATTGTTGCTTTCTTCACGCTTTCTCATAACATTCTGTTTTATTTTTTACCCAATATTAATAGTGAAACCGAAACACAGTATTTTAGAAATGTATGCAATTATTAAAAACACTATAGCACATGAATGCACTTGTTTAGACTAACGTTAGCCTACAGCAGTTTCCTGGCGTTAGCTTTCGGTTGCTAGGGACGCCAGTCGCCATGACTACCGCTGGGCTATGCTTCTTCTTCTTCTTCTTCTTCTTCTTTTTTTCTTTTCTTCTTCTTCTTCTTCTTCTTCTTCTTCTTCTTCTTCTTCTTCTTCTTCTTCTTCTTCTTCTTCTTCTTCTTCTTCTTCTTCTTCTTCTTCTTCTTCTTCTTCTTCTTCTTCTTCTTCTTCTTCTTCTTCTTCTTCTTCTTCTTCTTCTTCTTCTTCTTCTTCTTCTTCTTCTTCTTCTTCTTCTTCTTCTTCTTCTTCTTCTTCTTCTTCTTCTTCTTCTTCTTCTTCTTCTTCTTCTTCTTCTTCTTCTTCTTCTTCTTCTTCTTCTTCTTCTTCTTCTTCTTCTTCTTCTTCTTCTTCTTCTTCTTCCTCTCTGCTACCTCCATCTCTGCCTCTTGTCTTTTCCTCACTGCTACAGTCTCTAACCCATACAGCATAGCTGGTCTCACTACTGTCTTGTACACCTTTCCTTTGATTCTTGCTGCCACTCTTCTGTCACACAACACTCCTGACACCTTTCTCCACCCACTCCAACCTGCCTGCACTCACCTCTTCACCTCTTTCCTACACTCCCCATCACACTGGACTGTTGACCCCAAATACTTAAACTCCTGCACCTTCTTGACCTCAGCCCCCTGTAACCTCACTGTTCCACTTCCCTCCCTCTCGTTCATACACATGTATTCTGTCTTACTACAACTGACTTTCATTCCTCTTCTTTCCAGAGCAGATCTGCACCTTTCCAGGCGTTCCTCCACCTGCTCTCTGCTCTCAATACAGATCACGACTATCCTAAATATCCTATACATCACCGTTGCAATGGTTCATGTCTGTCACTTCTGGTAGACATTTCATGAACAGAGCCTTGCATGGCGACCAGAAAGGATTTGTTTAAACTGAAAAAGTGAAAATTACTTGCAGGTTATAGGCCTGCTTTTTAATGCGCACAGCAATGTATTTATGGTATTATGCTTTATGTGTCTGTGTGTGTGGTAACAAAACTGGGGTAGTATCCTTTAGTCTTTGAGTGGGAAATCTGCCCTCACCTGTCTGTTAAAACAGTTCATTGGGTATAAAATGTTTGTTTAAAATCCGTTTAACAATCAGTTTCACATGCTTTATGGTTTTGAAAGTAATATTTTCCAGGTTACCACAATCTTGTTGTTATCTCATAGTATATTTTATGTCATACTGGCCCTCATACCTTAGGTGAATTCCTGTGACCAGAATCTGAATAGATGCTGTGAGCTCATTGAACTCACCTCCAAGATCCAAGGCCAACTGTTTGTCATCCTTAACCTCACAGCTGCTGAAGGTAAGATTCACATTTGCAGTTTAGGACTTTATTTTCTTTGATAAAGTTGTTAAACCAGTTATGATCACTCATTAATTACTCAACACATACTTGTATTTCCTCATTAATCAGGTGGACACTATGATGGAGTGGACACTCTCAAAACACGCCTGCTGCCGTGGCTTGGAACATGTTTCTCGATGGCGAGGCCCTCGGTCACTGATGACACCAGTCTACAGCTCATCCAGGTGACATCATCTGTTAACAGTCTGAATATCCTATTAATATACCATATGCATCAAAGAAAATGAATATAGTGTGGTACCTCTTCTTGTCCAACCAATTCCAATCATATTTCTTCTATTGTGGCACCTTGTGTCATAGTTACTGTATAATATTTGTTATCAGGACTCAGTGGAAAAAGGCAGAAGGATCAGAGAACTCTCCGCCTACCATGAAAATGACATGCAGAAGATGGAGACTCAGCTGTGCTCCACTCGCCTGCAGCTAGACTCTGTCAGAGAAGAGTGAGTGTGTGCAACACGAAATAAGAAATGCACAAAACATTTGATGTAGAACACTGAACTGCAGCCCGCAAGTCTTTCCTTTCCTGACTCAGCGTGTTTATATCCCCGTGATCCCGTTTGGGACTAAGTGGTGTAGAAAATGGATGGATGGATGGATTTATACCTTATCTCTTTGAAGACTGAATTACATGTAGTGAAATACAGTACATGAAACATACTAGGAATCTTACTATTTTTTACTTTAACAGATTGGTTGATGCTCAGAAAGAACTGAATGAGACAAAGAGCAAATCAGCAACCACTCTGCTGGCTACTGAAGATGAAATACTACAGCTGAAAGCGGAGTGGGTGATACAGCCAAATACAGGAAGAATGAACTCATTTGTAGATGCAGTATATGCGCTTTAATGTGAAATGTGTCTCTGTTTCAGTTTGCGATCCGCACATGAGCAGGTGGAGATTTATAAGAGGAAGCTGGATGCTATTGATGACTATGAGCGTCAGATTCGCTTGTTGAAAGATGAAGTGTCCTACCTGAGCACAGAGAAGGCCATGCTGCAGGAGAGGCACTTAATGCAATCATGCAAATACTGTATATACACAAACACTGACACCACTACACAGAACAGTGTCTTCATTGATGATGTAGTTTTAATGTTTCTCTTTTGTCACATATCCTCTCTCAGGCTGGTGAGAAGTCGTTCTCCGAGCCCCTTGCCCATTCTCAGCCGTTCTTCCAGCCCCATGAGGAATGACTCGCCCACCAGAGCCCAACTTACAAACTCCTCACGCCAAGCACGCCTCATATCCCGCTTCAGTGACCTTTATGCTGTGGAGCGCCTGGAGGCCCAGACAATGCTTCGGCGTTACATTACTGATTTAGAGATGGTCCAGAAAATCATCTTCATTGCTGTCGTGGTATGATTGTAATTATTATTGAGCCACCTGTAGATATGAACAAGAATTACATTTAAATCAGGGTTGTGTTTGATTGGCTGGTGTAAGGAATGATTTACTGTAGTCTATCTGTTGTGCATATTTTCGTGTTTTCATCTCTTAGGAATCTTTTAAGGCAGCAAAACTGGCCTATCGTCAGTTCAAACTGCGAGTGAGAAAGACCTTGACCCCGTCCCACTTTGGACCAGAAAGTCTAGAGGATGCAGCTGTGGACTACATTGTCAGACATTTGGACCTCTATGACGTACAGGCCAGCGTCAATGTAAGACTAAATTCATCTCAGATTTGCCCTATGTAACATTTATGAATATACTTGGACACCTGACATAAGACTTTGTATCTAACTGTGCATTTTATCGCCCCAGGATGTGATCAGTGCTATGAACGTGAACCCTCGGATCTCCTTCCCACCAGAAGTGGACTTTGTCCTCATCAGCACCTTGATCAGGGAGACATGCAGGGTGGCCTTTGCCATGCAGACTCTGGACCCTCCGCTTGACTTGGCTTTTGCCAGTGATGGAGAACTTTACAACGACAGCAAGTCAGTTCTACAGTACTATGTTTAAATCCTGTCTGACCCCTGTAACATTTGTTCTTTTACAGCAGTTTGGCCCTGATGAAAGGTTTCACAGTTCATTTGGTCGTTTTTATTACAGTGTTTGAATTATGTTACATTTCCACACGGCCACTTTACGTACATGTGCAGCACTGATAAATGTTTGATGTCTCTACCAGTAGATGTCGCCCTCAGCACACACACGGCTCTCCCTGACTCTTTTCCCTTCCCTCTCTGACAGGTATCGTCGGAGCTATGATTCCGAGTTCACCGCTCCTCTGGTGATGTACCATGTGTGGCCTGCCTTGATGGAAGGAAATGCTGTCCTAGTGAAGGGCGAGGCCGTGACTAGAAGAGGCGCTGTGGTAATGCCTTCAATATCCTCCAAGGATATTGTAATTGAATCAAGTGTTGCTTTAGAGAATAAGGGAAGGGCATGAAAGTACATGGAAAAGTTCATGTGTGTACTGGGGATGTGTCTGTTTTTGCAGTGGAGTAGAAGCAGGAGCAGGAGCAGGAGTGTCAGCCCTGTGCGCTCTCGCTCTCTCAGCCCATCGCGCAGTCTTGTAAGTTTCTATAATATTTGACGATGCAACCAAACACAGAGAGGCAGACACCATTTGGTGTTTTGGTCACAAAAGCAACTGCATAACATCCTAGAATGGCTCAGATTCTTAAAGTTTTACCTAATATTCAAATGTATCATTCTTTACACTTAATAACATTCATGCACACAATGATGGCCATAAGGGTATGTACTTTTCATTTTAGCGCATTTAACTGGATTTGTTGAAGCTTTGATTTACTCCAAAATTGTAAATATAAACAACACACAACTATGTTTGTTTCAGGCATTTAACAGCAAAAGAAGCCTGTCTCCTGAACGGCTCACAGCAAGCTGCCTGTGACCTCGCTTTCAACAGGACAGCAGACTTCTCCTGTTCCTTTTGTCAGTGATATCAAGTCTGAGGGAGCTTCAAGCCTGACTTCCTCTGTTGGGTTACACTTATGTGTGCCTCCACCAAATAGCCTAAATCAAATAAATCCTTATATACTGTACCAGCCACAGGCTGTTCAGAGTTTACATTGTCAGAGGGGAGTTTTATGAGACAGAGGTTAGAACATTACAGACAGAGCAAAGTAGCCTGGCAGCTGAATAACTGAACTGCTTAGTGTACTGTATTTACTCTGAGATTAAGTTCTTGAAAGATACTAACAGTAATTTAGTGATAATCAATAACATAAAGTAACTCTTTCAAGAGAAATCTAGACCTAGACAGTAGCACTTTCTTAGTCTGACAACTAGCTCTAGGAAGCATATTCAACATGTAGCTTTCTG